GCGCCTTAAGGATGGAGAACGTTGATTCTAGAACAAGACTCCTTGAGTTAGAATCCTGGCCCTGTCCATTGCTCGCTGTGGACTGTGGGGAAGTGACTTCCCCTTCCTGTCCTGAAGTTTCCTGCTCTCTGGCTTGGGGACCTGGGACAGTTGTGTGAGGATGGAGGGAGGTGGTCAGTGGGAACCTCTCAGGACGGGGCACAGGACAGTCACCACCCCAGACAGCGAGGAAGGAGCCGTAGCAGGCCATTTGCACAAGGGTTGGGCGGTTGGGAGCATCTGCCATAGACGTTTCCCTGGGGAGGGGGCGGAGAAGAAGGGGGTTTACTAAAAAGCAGCTTGTCATCTCTCTTAGTACGTCCACGACAGAGGGCAGCCTCCATGCCCAGTGGTTCCTGCTCTGGACTTCGCCTCGTTCTGGCCCTGTTGCGAGGTATTTGTGCTTTTGGTATAAATTATAAATCTAAACATATGCAGGGTTTGTTTTCCCCCCAGAGCAGATTCCAACCAGCATGAAACCCGCCAAGACAAATAAATTGTGCGCTTCAGCCCATTGTCTCCGGCCCCACGTACGCGGTTGAGTTGTAGAGAATCGCTTTGAAGGGGACGCCCATTAGTGCTCCCAGCATCAGGGTCCAATTTAGGCAGCGCATATTTTGAAGAGTTTCCTAGAAATTTGTGGCGAAGGAAGACAGGCATGGGCTGGGGGCGCAAAGGGCTCTTATCAAATTATACAGGATGCATTTCGGGGGGGCGGGGGGTGTTGTCATCAAAGCACAAAATAGAGCCACGGCCCTGAACTGAAGGAGGCTCGCAGAATTCCTCAGCGGGGGAAGTCATCCCGGGAATGCAAAGATTGCGCTCAGTGTTATGTTTGCAAGGAAACGACTGTCACCAAGTGGAGAATGTCAGGTCCTCCGAGAAGCCCCCTGAGCATTCACGTGCAGGAAACTATTTACTTAACTGGGGCTGGTTCTGAAAGTATTTGACTCCGGAGGGTCCCGAGGGAGTGTGGACGGTGTCTGGATTTTCTTTGGGGTCAGGACGAGGCCTCTAACAGTCTCTCCAACTGATAAGGTTGCAGGGCAGGTTCCTTCTCTGCTGAATCGAGGTTTATGGCCCGGGCCAGCCGAGGCCAGAGCGGGAGCCTGTCATCCCAGACGCCTCCCCAACTCACCAGAGCGCACGTCTATCTGATGCATGAGCGGAGGTGCGGCAGAGGCTGTGGGCCGGTGAGAGTGCAGGGGAAAGAAGCCTGGAAGGATGGATCGAGATGTTTATCTCCAGGAGGAATCCAGCAAACTACGCCCTTGTCAGTGCTGAGGGCTGACAGGGTGGGTAGCAGAGGAGACCTCTGCTGCCACCATCTGCAGGAGAATGATGGATGGTACCAAGTGGGGTGGGTTTTGGAGACGGTTCCTCCTGTTAAAAGCACCCCGAACCTCCCTCACCCCAAGCAGGAGACGGGAGGGGGGCTGTGTGGGACTAGACAGTGAGGCTCCGGCTCCGCAGGGCAGCAAGGGCAGTGGGACTGGCCTTCCCCCGAGGGCCCGAGAATAGAGGTGTTCTAGAAAGATCACGTAGCCTTTCTGTTTCCTCATCCTTCGCTGGTGACACACTTCCCTGGGGCTTCCCCTTCAGTCTCAAAGGCAGAGGCCCCTCCCCCCTGCTCTGAGGACAGCGCTCACCACCTGGGCTGCGGTGCAGATGGCCGGACATGCCTGTCCACACGGGGACACTTCCTCTCTACTCACCTCTGTCCCCAAACACCCAGCCTGGCCATGGGGGACGATGACACCTGCCCTGCTCACCTCATGAGGGAACACGGGTAGAGATGGGAAATCGTTTGGAAGTGTTAGAAACGCTGTGTGGCTTGGAAGCGTGTGCCTGTGGGGCCACGGTGGTGAGTGTGGCCACGCAGGGACTAGAGAGGCCATCGGAGTCATCACAGATCCACCTCATTGCCAGGCACCTCTTCGCCTGAAGTGCCAGCAGCTCAGCCACCACCTGGCCAAATTCATTTGCCACCTGGGCTCTTCCATACTCAATATTTCTCTTTAATTTCCTTTGTCTGCTAGCTTTTTGTTTGGACAAATTTCGAACTTGCTGGGAAGTGGAGATAGTAGCGCCACCAACAGCCAAACGCCTCTCCCCTAGATTCACCGACGGTTAACATTTCTGCCACATGTGCTTTCTCTCTGTGTTTCTCTCCATATACACATTAAACAACAACAACATGGGGACTAGCCAGTTTGGCCCAGTGGATAGAGTGTTGGCCTGCAGACTGAAGGGTCCCGGGTTAGATTCTGGTCAAGGGCACGCATCTCCTATCTCAATTGCAGGCTCCTCCCCGACCCAGGCCCTGGTTGGGGCTCCTGCAGGAGGCATCCAATCGATGTGTTTTTCTTACGTAGATATTTCTCTTTGTCTTTCCCTCTCTCTCTCACGCTCTCTAAATATCAATGGAAAAATATCCTTAGGTGAGGATTAAAAAAGCAAAACAACAACATGGAATTACTTATTTTCTAGGTCCATTAAAATATTTAAGAAACTTTCACTTTCAGAATCATTTAGATTTAAAGAAGAGTTACAAAGAGTGCACAGAGAATGCTTATGTAACGTGTTTCCAGTTTCTCACTGTCTCCCCTTACTGTTGACATCTTACATGTTATGGAGCATTTGTTACAATGAATGCACCAATATCGATACATTATCATGAACTAAACTCCATGTTTTGTTAGTTTTTCCTTATCTGATAAAGTCACTTTTAAACTTTAAAAATGTGAAGATTGGAAAGTGTCCATGGGAAACCACAATCCTAGCTGGAGGCTGTTGGCGGCTGAGTGAAGGAAGCCTGAGGCCGGCTTTCTCTTGGTTAAAAAGGCAGGTTAGTAAATGGTGGAGATGTTCAAGGCAGAGCCAGATGGACCTGGAAGAGCATTGCCCAGGTTTAACGTGACTTTCCCACTATGTCTGGTGCCCAGTCTGTGTGTCACCAAGTCCTGTCGGGTGCCACCCTGTGTGAGCCTGGGAAGCGGCACGGTCTGGCTACATTAGGCCTTCGGACGGCTGGAAACCCCAAGTTCAGGACGACTGAGTTCCAAACCTGGGGCTTTCTTCTGCCCTGGAGGGTGGGGGCGGGGCGGGGGCTGCCCCCACTGGCTCAGGGCGATGGGGAATGCCATTTGTCTTCTCCACAGCAGCTCCCCCGGATAAAGCCGCCTCCTGACAAGTGAAGAACACAAGAGAACGTGCTGGGGAATTCCATCCACAGCGCGTGAGAGTGCACCCTGCGTAGGATACAAGGTCCGATTGCCCCTCCTGTCTGTGAGACGTGGTCCTCCGTGCAGCCAGCAAGGGGAGGAACGTGGCTCAGTCGATACCGTGCTTCCTCAGTAGCCCTTTGTCTGAATTTGTTCAAATGAACTCCTTTAAAGCGCCTCAAAAAGGTTTTCGTGTTTCATAGGTTAGAGTAGGTGACATGGTTTCCTGAAACGAAGTCACCCCTTTCCAGTCCTTTCCTTTCAAGTACGGATCTGCTGTCCTTGCCAGGAGGCCCGGCCCGCTGCGGGGAACTGGACAGTTCCCTGCTCTTCAGGAATTTCACTCTGATAAGTCACTGTTGGCTCAAGGGGTCCCAACATCTAACCTGAGGTGGTCCGGCTGGAGCGTTTGCAGAATGTCTGGGTTCCCGCCTTAGGACGGCTGTTTATTTCTCCCCTGACAGGGTGCAGAATTCTTTGAGTTGGTCCAAGGAGGCAAATGGGGGGGATGAGGTTTTCTCCTTGTGTGAGGTGCCGTGTCCCCAGAGAGGGAAGCTGGTTGGGACGTGAGTAACAGACAAATCCATTGTCATTTTCCGAAATGAAGCTATTACAGGTCGGAGCATCGCCCCGAAACCTTTTGCCGCCCCCTCTCCCAGAGGTAATGACTCAGTTTGGTTTGTATGCTTCCAGACTATTTTCCTGGCTTCGTATGTGTTTCCATAGTATTTCATTTTATGTGTGTGTGGAAGGGGGAGGGTCACACAATCAGGATTATAAAATATTCCATTCTGACCCCCCTTTCCCTCAGTAATACATCTTGGAGATGCATCTCTGTTGTTACAGACAGACACCCCTCAGTCTTTTTAAACCACAGGACGACTCTTCCGTGCTCTATTTAACAGTCCTTATTTGATGGATATCTATTTCCAATGGTTTCCTGTGATAAACCATTGTTTTCTAGCGAACTTCTCCATGTGTGCCTCCCCATGCACAGGCGTAAGTGATGTTTGGGTGCGCCCTCTGCTCACTTTCGGTTTTCAAAGCTCTTGCCCAGTTACCCTTCAGAGGATGCTGTGGGGGAGTGGGGTGGGAGGTGTCCGTTTCTGTTCTTCGGGGCTGCTGAGCCCTGGTTTCTTGTCTGCAGGGCTGTAGGGTGGACGGGAGCCAAGGCGAGGCAGAGAGAAATGCGTCTCTAGGTGTTAGACTTAGAGGCTGGGAGGCACTGCAGGGCCGGCCTCCGTCAATGGGGACTTTGTTCCCGGCTGCATCCCTGAGCAGAATCCAAAAGCAAGATGCACGAGGTGACCAAAGGAGCCGGGGACCCCACCCCTCGACTCAGAGACACCAAGTTTCTGGGAGTCTTACACACACAGATGTAAGAGGGGAGGGTGTGTGTGCGGGGCGGGGGGGGGGGGGGCAAACCCTGAAATAATTAGGTTGTAAAAAAAGGGGAAAAGGTAATAAAAGAAGCTGACTACTAACTATAAAGATGTAAAGGGAAAAAGCCAAGCCAGTTCGCATCCTAGGAGATGGGGGAGGTGCAGAGGGGACGATGGGGTTTGGGGAAAACTCAGGACCGGAGGAAGGGGTGTGTGGAGGATCTGATCCCAGTCTGAGGAGGGGACAGATGGCAAAGAGGGAAGAAAGGGGGGAAAGGAGAAAGCGTGAGGAGAAAGCAGCAAGGTAAGGAGAGGAAGGAGGGGGGGGCGGGAGCGGGGAGAGGCTGCGTCCCTGTCTGTTTGTGATTAGCACGCAGCCCCGCAGAATGGAGTAAACAGAAACTTCTAGGCGTCCCCACACCCCCCTCCGAGGCACAGCAGAAGTCAGATGCTCCAGGATTAATCGCGGAGAGCTCAGGACACGACCACAAACGCCGTGTGGACTTGCAACTTGCTGCCTTTTCCCAGTCCCCTTGCCAAGATGGGAGTGGGGGGGTGGGATGCGAAGGGGTGGGGGCCCCGCCTGCCGGGGACCACATGGAATCCTCCCAGGCAGAGCTCCGAGTGACACTGACGGGCAAATCGGCGGCGTCCAGAGCCGCAGGCAGCATCCGGGGGCACGGGCCGCTGGGGGCGCCCCAGGCAGGCTTCCTGGAACCCCGGCTCCACAGCTGCCGGCACCCTGACACAGGCCAGATAAGAGCCGGCCGCGCTATCAGGGCCAGCAGCGCACAGTCGCAACGACCACGGGGACAGCAGGCTCCTGGGAGGCGGCGCAAGTCCTGGCTGGAGTCCTGCCCTGAATGGGAACCCATTTGCTACAGCGACCAACCAGGCTGCTCCCAGGAGGATGGTGACAGGCTCCTGAAGGTCCGGACCTGCTGCTGGTGAGTGCGGCCGCATGGGGACCAGACCCTGGAGGGAGGGGAGGCGTGAGGAGGGCAGCGGGTCCTCACTTTCCGACCTGGAGCTCCGTTGAAGCTAAGAGGGCGTTGCAGTATCTCGCTGTGTGGCTCTGGGCAAGTTCTTCTCCCTCTCTGGGCCTCCGTTTGTGCATCTCTAAAATGGAGCAGCTGAACGAGGCGATCTGTAAGTGGGGGGGGGGGGTGCTATGACTGCTATTTCTTGTGTGTCTGCTTGTGTACTGTGCTAGGCGTTTTGAAACGTTAGCCTGGGGAAGCCCCACAATCCCCCAGAGAGTAGGTATTATTATTACTATTCTCTTCGTTGTACACTGAGCAAACAGAGGCTCAGAGAGGTGAAATAACTTGCCCAAGGACACACAGCTGGTCCCTGGCCGAGATGAGAACCAGATCTCGGTTTTTCCGACTTGACTTTCACTAACGTTCCCACCGCCAGTATTCTGCGTTCTGAGTCTGCGATGATCACCCAGGAAGCTGGGGTGAAGGAGGAGGGAGCATTGTCTGGAGGAGGGAGGCAGAGACGTGGACAGAGGAAGAAGCAACCGGCTGAGCAGCCTTTAGCTCCTTGGATGTATGTCAGGCCAGGGAAGGGGCACCCTGTCCTGGGATAGGTGGGCAGGGCTCCTGGTGTGAATGAAGCGCGCCTACCCGGTGTCACTCGCTGTGTTTGCTGCTCTGTTGTAGGAGACTCCCAGGCGTGGGAGAAGACGGTTAATCTTAGGCAGGGGTGGGGAGAGCTGGGTGTGGAAAGAGTGGCATATGTCTCTACTAGGTTTTGTTCCAATTTTATTTTGCTTTTTCAAAAATGTGTTTCAAATCACTCCGGGCCCCCTCTGCTCCTCTGTAGAAACGGAATTGTGAAACACAAACAGCGCTTTCCACATGCCTCCCCCCCCTTCCCACATTAATATTATCACAGGCGATTTGCATATGCGGCCCTGCAGCTGTGGCGGGCAGCAGCCAAGAGATAAGAAATACGCAGCGGGGCCACGGCAGGTGGGAAGTCCCTCGGGTGGCAGGCATCTGGGCAGAGTTGGAGGCCCTGGCACCCAGATGTGGCCTCCTGTTTTCTCTTCCCTGGAAAATTCCATCCCAGCGCAGCTCTGCACTGACTCAGACCTCTTGTCCTTCCAGGAACTGGCTCGGCCTTAGGCTCAAGCCCAGACCCGAGTGGTGGTCCCAGCTCCAGGGTGATTGGCTAGTCCCGAAGCCCCCTGGGTCGCCCCCTCGGTCCCGGGCAAACAAGGACCTTGGCACCTATGATGTTACTGTGCTCCTGAGGCTATTTTCATCGAGGGTGGCTGTCGGGTGGGAATACTGTCACGGTGTGCTGCCGTGCGTCTCTTCCCAACTTCATTTTTAGCGACGTCAGGTTGGTAGCCTGATACTGATCGTATTGGGAGTATTTACATTTTGGGAATTGGCAAATGAGTATGACGCAGGGTTTGATTTATTGTCTTATTCATTGTCTAGATTTGAGAAAGTGAGGGAGGAAAAGTTAACCAAGCAGATTAAACATCAAAGCCCGTTGTCTCTCTAGCTGTTACACTGTGAATAGCACCAACCATTGAGCAAGTTGCTCATTTCATTGAAAAAGGGGTTAAGCTCGACTGCTCTTTGTTGTATCATGGTGGTCTTACTCCTTAAGGTAAAATTAAATATCAATCACCATTCCTGAAGAACTATGGTCGCTCATCCATTGTAACCATAGGTTGACTACAGATGCAAGAACAGAGGGGAAAAAAAAATCAATGAAAATGTTCTGTGTGAAACAATGGGTGATATGAAATTTACAAAAAGTGGTATTGTAAATTTTGTTTTTATTTGTAAATTGTGTGTTACACATCCTTTATGTCAATACAATGTATAATAACCCTAAGTATATGTATCTATGTGTATGTGTGCGTGCGTGTGTATGTGCATATATAGTATTTGTATGTACACACATGTGCACGCACACACACACACAGACACACACAGACACACTTTCTCCTGAGGAGCTGTGGTTAACCCTTCACCTGCCCACCTCTGGCCCACAGCATCTCAGAAGCCCTGGGGTGGACCGTCCTCAGCCCTCACCCAGAAGGATTCAAACTCCAGGCCATGGGCCTTGGAACCCTTCCCTCAACTTCCTCTTCTCAGCTAAACGAACCAACAGCCAAACTGCTCTCCCTGCCCTGATCTCTGGGATGGAAGCAGGGGCTGGAGTGGAAGCAGGGGCTGGAATGGATGCAGGAGTTGGAATGGGTGCAGGGGCTGGAATGGATGCAGGGGCTGGGATGGATGCAGGGGCTGGGATGGATGCAGGGGCTGGAATGGGAGCAGGGGCTGGGATGGGAGCAGGGGCTGGGGGGGATGCAGGGGCTGGGATGGATGCAGGGGCTGGAATGGGAGCAGGGGCTGGGATGGGAGCAGGGGCTGGGGGGGATGCAGGGGCTGGGATGGATGCAGGGGCTGGAATGGGAGCAGGGGCTGGGATGGGAGCAGGGGCTGGGGGGGATGCAGGGGCTGGGATGGATGCAGGGGCTGGAATGGGAGCAGGGGCTGGGATGGGAGCAGGGGCTGGGGGGGATGCAGGGGCTGGGATGGATGCAGGGGCTGGAATGGGAGCAGGGGCTGGGATGGGAGCAGGGGCTGGGGGGGATGCAGGGGCTGGGATGGATGCAGGGGCTGGAATGGGAGCAGGGGCTGGGATGGGAGCAGGGGCTGGGGGGGATGCAGGGGCTGGGATGGATGCAGGGGCTGGAATGGGAGCAGGGGCTGGGATGGGAGCAGGGGCTGGGGGGGATGCAGGGGCTGGGATGGATGCAGGGGCTGGAATGGGAGCAGGGGCTGGGATGGGAGCAGGGGCTGGGGGGGATGCAGGGGCTGGGATGGATGCAGGGGCTGGAATGGGAGCAGGGGCTGGGATGGGAGCAGGGGCTGGGGGGGATGCAGGGGCTGGGATGGATGCAGGGGCTGGAATGGGAGCAGGGGCTGGGATGGGAGCAGGGGCTGGGGGGGATGCAGGGGCTGGGATGGATGCAGGGGCTGGAATGGGAGCAGGGGCTGGGATGGGAGCAGGGGCTGGGGGGGATGCAGGGGCTGGGATGGATGCAGGGGCTGGAATGGGAGCAGGGGCTGGGATGGGAGCAGGGGCTGGGGGGGATGCAGGGGCTGGGATGGATGCAGGGGCTGGAATGGGAGCAGGGGCTGGGATGGGAGCAGGGGCTGGGGGGGATGCAGGGGCTGGGATGGATGCAGGGGCTGGAATGGGAGCAGGGGCTGGGATGGGAGCAGGGGCTGGGGGGGATGCAGGGGCTGGGATGGATGCAGGGGCTGGGATGGATGCAGGGGCTGGAATAGGATTGGTGGGGTAGGAGGTGTCGTCCCCACTGGCAGCATCTCTGGCTCCTCAGTGGCACTTGGCCGCTCATTCCTTCCCGTTGCAGGTCCTGCCCTGCCAGCCTGTATTCTCACGCAGAGCGACCGATTCTCTAACACAAACGGCATCTTGGCACAAGCAGAAGGAAGGGCTCAGCCAAAACTATAGGAAAGTTAAGACAACTTTCTATTTTTAGAAACTTTAGGAGCCAGGTGGGCCCTTTCCAGCTCTCCCAAGTCAGCAAGCACGAGAGGAAAATACTTCTCCTTTCCAAGTCCCGCCTCCCTGCAGCCCAGGCCAAGGAGGAGGCCCAGGTAGGGACACTGGCTAAGAGAAGCCACAGCAATTTTATTTCATTTTATTTTTAAAAACATATTTGTATTAATTTCAGAGAGGAAGGGAGAGAGAGAGGGAGAGAGGGGGAGAGGGGTGGAGATATCAATGATGCTGAGCCATGCCGGCTGGGCCACAGCAACTTTAAAAATAACTAAAAACAAAGTTTATTATGATTTTATTTTGTGTGGCAGGAAGGGCAATCCCGAGTTTAAATCTTCACTCCAGGTGATTAAGGGCCAGGTGTGCCTGTTCTCCCAGACCAGTGGTTGGCAAACTGCGGCTCCCGAGCCACATGCGGCTCTTTGGCCCCTTGGGTGTGGCCACGAAGTTTCCATCGCACCGTACGTGCGCGCCCGCACGTGGTATTTTGTGGAAGAGCCACACTCAAGGAGCCGCAGTTTGCCGACCGCTGTCCCAGACCATTCATTCACTCCTATTCGTGGTTTCCGAAAGCGAGGACATTTCCCCTCCACGCTGCCTCTTCCTTCCTTCACTTGCCCCTGTGTCCTGGGTGTTTTCCCTCTGAGCCCACGAAGACCCAAACCATTCCTTTCAATGCCGGCATGACACAAGCCCCAGGAGGTTGTAAGAAGAAAGCCCTTTCGACAACCACGTCTCCACTTGCTAACCAGCTCTCCAACTTTCTCGGTCCCAAAACATGAGTAGAGCCCAGCTGCCTCCACTCTTCAGTAAGAAGAATTTGACCGGCTCTACCCGCCGCCTGTAACTGGACGCTAACCACCTCCTGTCTCCTCCACTGCATCCGCCCGGCCCAAGTGCCATCATCTTTCTCTGGACCATTACAGTTGCCTTCTCACTGGGGTCTCCGCTTCTCCTCCTGCCGCTCTGACAGTCTGTTCTCCACTTGCAGCCAGTCGGGTCCTGTTTAAAGGAAATCAGATCCTGTCCTTCCTCTGCTCAGGACACCATCGTCTCCCAAGTCCTGGCTCCCACCTCACCCAGGGTAAAAGGCAAAGTCCTCACCATGGCAACAAGGTCCTGCAGGATCCTGGAGCTCATCCCCTCACTCTGCCCCTCACTGCACTTGCTGTTTTCAATTGTGCCAGGCACAGTCCTGCCTCAGGACCTTTGCACTTGCTTTCCCCTCTGCCGGGGCACTCATTGTCCAGATCTCCACTGGCTCACTCTTCCGTCATCCACTATACTATATATTTTTCTTTTCTTCAATGTCCCCTAAAATGTAAGCTTCCTGAGGGCAGGGATTTTTTTTTGCGGGGGGGTGGGGGTAGGGGGGCTGTTTTATGCAATGCCATAGCCCATACTAGGCACTCAACACATACTTGTGGACATACTTGCTTTGCTATGTTGCTAAGGGTGACAAGACAGCCAGACTTTTTGGGAGAATCCTGAATTAGAATCATAGGGAACCTCTAGTGCAGCGGTTCTCAACCTGTGGGTCTCGACCCCTTTGGCGGTCGAACGACCCTTTCACAGGGGTCGCCTAAGACCATCCTGCATATCAGATATTTACATTACAATTCATAACAGTAGCAACATTACAGTTATGGAGTAGCAACGAAAATAATTTTATGGTTGGGTCACAACATGAGGAACTGTATTTAAAGGGCCAGAAGGTTGAGAACCACTGCTCTAGCGCATGCCTGTGTTTCATTGACGTATACACAGCTCATCCATCCAGTGGCCCTTCCGTTTGCATCACAGTGAGAGTCAGAGTCTGTCTCAGGTGGGCGTGGAGGGCCCTGGACACAACATCCTCTTTGTCACCTGAGTCCAGATAAACCCAGGAGGCAGGCAGGTCATGGGACTTGGGTTCTGTGGTGTCAGGTGGCTGTTACTGTGTTGTCCCCCACCCAGTGCTGCAGGAAGCCCCTCTGAGGACCAGGCCAGCATCACCTTTCACACTCACCCACGGTGGGTAGGGGAGGGGCGGCCCTGCAGGTGGAAGGGGGCATGCGATCCCTCCAAACGTGCCATTGGACGCTTCCACCCACCAGGGACCTAAGAGGCTTGTCCCCGCTTAACCGCAGAGGGAACAGCTTCACGTCTTTTGCTCACTTATCCAGGGAGAGGGGTCCCTGTAGATCCCTGATCCCCAAATCCAGGTCTGAGAGCTTTCCTCAAGACTTGAAAACATGGACCTCAGGTCCATAATTGAACTAATCATCGTCTCATCACGAGACACTGAGAGAGGCGCCTGAATGGCCCCCTTTACCCTTCCCTCGAAGTCTCACCATATCCAGTTGTAAAATAAAAAACACCTGTACACCCTCCGCCGCTGAGAACCGGAAAGCTGACATTATTTACGCGCATTTATGTCCTCCTTCCCTCGGCAGTAGCTGCTGTCTTGAGTTTTGTGCGACCGCCTCTCTGCAGAGCTCCCCTTCCCGCAAGCCTCGTCCAGTGGTTTTTTCTCTTTTTCTTTTCCTCGTGCCTATTGTTCCTCAGGCTGTGTGCCCATTCCTGAAATAGCCCTGGAGTATGCTCTTCTTTGGCGGAAGCCTGCCAGGCAGTCCCCAGAGCAGGGGGAGGGGCAGGGTCAACCACACCAAACCAGTGTCTGGGGGACCCCAAAGCCAGCTGCTCTTCCTCGAGGAGGGACGCGATGCCGGGCCAGAGGAGAGCCATGTCCACCCCGGGCTGCACTGGTTTGGGCCGTTGACCTACGTGAGCGTCTTTAGTGCAAAATAGGCCGACCTGGATGAATGGTGAGCAGCACGGGCCCCTTTGGCCTCGTCTGGCTGAGGCTGCCGGCCGCACGCGGGGAGCTGCACACAACGTGTCTGGAATACCTATTCCGCAGGGTAATTCCCAGGGATAAAGCATGTTTATCCTTTTTTGGGGGAAAATTCCATTTCTGTTGCCAATTAGTTCTGCTTGAGAACAGCTTTTCTCAACACCAACATGTTGGCCGCCCGGCCTTGAGTTCTGTTGATGAGCTCAAAGTGGGGAAAAAGTGATTTTTCTTTCCTTCCTCCACCCCCACCGTGAAACCCGGCTGCTGGTGATGAAAGGGGTCCTGCGGATCGTTTCGTTTTCCTTGTCCTGACTCCAGGAAAGGCTATAAAATGAATCAATGGGCCCGCTGGCCATCACGGAGTGGAGAGAGAAATTGGCTACCACAGCGTCTGAGTTATCACAATCCATTTGTCAGGCCGGCGCAGGACGGGAGTGCGAAGGTTGTCCGCGTGTTTCTCTTCTCTCCCAGATTCTGGGGTGCTCCTGGCGGGGGAGGGGGGCCGTGGGGCAGAGTGATCCTGAGCGTGGCTCTGACACCCACTGCCTGACCCAAATCCCAGCTGCCCCGTTTGTAGCCATCGGTCCTGGCGCCAGGGACTCGACCTCTCCACGCCTCAGCTTCCTCATTTTAAAGCGATGATCACGGTCCCGCCCCCCGAGGTTAATGTACGGATTAATACGCGTGAATGAGGCCCTGCCCTTGTGCATGTAAACTTCTTCCCAAATGTCAGCTGTTAGTGCTCTCAGGCCCTCCCACTCTTCCCTGGCTGACCCCGGATGGTATGTGGCTGTGCCTGAGTGTCTCCATCCAGTCTCTTGTGGATGGACGTGAGACTGGGTCCAGTCCTTTGTGATCGCAAATAATGCCGCACTGAATAACCTGTGCTTTGTGTACCCAGCCCTCCCCTAAGGTATGCGAGCCCCACGATAACCTTGGCTCTGGACCTTCCTTCCTGAGGCCTGAGGAACAAAGGAGAGAGAAGTGCACAGGGCGCAGGGCCAGCCCTGGCCTGGCATGCAGACAAGCCTGTGCGGCGGGCGGGGTGGGAGGCAGGACACATTCCTCCTGCGTCCCTCGGGGGAATGAGGTGCCAGGGGCTACGTTTCAGAAGGATGGGGCTGGGGCCTTCCAGCTCCCAGGTTCCTGGCAAATGCCCTCAGGTGTCTGCAGAGAGGAACTCTGTGCCTGGCAGGTTCTGCCCATCCTTTGTGATCCTCTTCCTCCAGGAAGCCCCCTGGGATCTCTTCCCCAACACCCTTGGCTGTGCATGGATTTAGCACCCATGGTATCCAGCCCCATTTTGAAAAGGGTGGGGGCAAAACCTTAGATGTGGAGTCAGAAAGGCCAGCTTTTGCTCCTGGCTTATTCGTGCCACCATCCTTGTCACTGCCTGGGCCTCGATTCCTCATCTGTATGAACAGGATAATAATGACGATGGCTTCTCAGGAAGGTTGTATGAGGTCTCAGCGACGTAAGGCGTATGGATTGTTTGACCCGGTGTCGGGCATTAGAAATACAAGCTTGTGGGAGGAATGTCATATCTATGGGGGGTCTGGCCTCACCGCAGCCGCCCACTGGGTTGTGGTACTTGCAGGCAGCAGGGTCTGCTTTGGAGGCAGAGTTGAAAGGGAGTCCAACTGAACTAGTGGGGTCCCAAGCAAGTTACTCCCGCTGAACTGAGCTTTCCTGGAAAATGGGGGATTCTAATGATACACATCTTATAGGTTTATTGTGAGAATTAACTGAGGCAAAGCACATAGCGAATGCTCAATAAATGGTGGCTCCTGCTGGTATTGCTATCAAGCAAGTTACTCCCGCTGAACTGAGTTTTCCTGGGAAATGGGGGTTCTAACGATACGCATCTTGCAGGTTTATTGTGAGAATTATCTGAGGCAAAGCACATAGTGAATGCTCAATAAATGGTGGCTCCTGCTGGTATTGCTAAGCATCCGTGTTAACAGTTATAAATAACCTCCCAGAGCCCAGCTGGCGTGGCTCAGAGGTTGAGCGTCGACCTATGAACCAGGAGGTCACGGTTCAATTCCCGGTCAGGGCACATGCCCCATTGCAGGCTTGATCCCCAGTAGGGGGTGTGCAGGAGGCAGTTGATCAATAATTCTTTCTCATCATTGATATTTCTATCTCTCTTTCCCTTCCTCTCTGAAATCAATAAAAAAAAAAATGTAAAAAATAACCTCCCAGAAACTGGCATGGTGTGGAGCGTGCAGTTGGTGCTCCGTGGATACAAATGGATTTACCCACAGCCCAAGTCCCTGTGTTATAAAGTAGGGTCTGGAGGCACAGATAGAGGCCTGGCTCTCACGTTGCTGACCCCTTAGGGGAGACGGAGGAAGACAGCCCTGTATGACCTGCTCCAGCTTAATCTGTGAGATGACGACCAGGCATTATCACCCCCAGTTTACAGCGAAGAAAACTGGCGCCCAGAGAGGGACACCCCACCCCCACCCCCACGCGGGCACCCTACAGCAAGCACGTGGCCCAGCAGGAGCCACCCCACTGTCCTGCCTCTCCGGCCAGTGGTCTTCACCCCGACCCTCGGCCGGGGCAGGAAGTGGACCACGAGGGCGAGATCATGTCCCTCAGGCCAGAGGGGGGGCATTTCTGACATTTCTGACATTTTTGTGTCTTGGGACAAAGGGTGAAGAAACTCAGATGAACTGTTCTGGTTTCCTGGTGGAAAAACACTCCTGACCCGGGCGGCGGGGAGGGGGGGATCTTTGCTGTTGGGTTGCGTCGTAAGGATGGTTTTGCCTGTATTTTGCTACTTGTTCCCCCTTCTACTGCTTAGCAGCAGCAACTGCATAAAACCCAGGTAAGGTAAATGCAGGGATGACCTGGGAATCGTTTGAGGGCGCTGATCAGGCCAGAGGGCTCCCTGCACCACTGATGTGGCCGGCCCCGCCTGGTCTGCTGGGGGGAGAGCAGGTGAGTGAGCAGCTGTCGCTCCTTCACAGGCCCTCCTCCGTGTCCTATCCTCCTCCCCAAGGACACAGGCCCTGGATTGGGGCCACCTCATCCAATACGACCTCATCTTAACCAATGACATCTGCAGAGACTCTATTTCCAAAGGTCATGCTCTAAGACCCCGAGAGACATGCATATTTGGGGGATACTGTTCAATTCACAAACCCCCCTAATAAATATTAGCTGTTATTAACACTCCCCTTACCACAGGATCCCCGAAGCACACCCTAAGCTCCTTTCTCTTCTTCTCCCATTTAGCCCCCTCCACAATCTGGGAAGGGGGTGCTATGATTACTTAGTTGAGGCCCAGAGAGGTGAAATGACTTGCTCAAGGTCACACAGTTTGCCCAAGGGTCACACAGCTGGTAAATAGCAAATCTGGGGGTCGGACCCTTTTCTTTCTGACTCCAAAGCTGGCAAGGCTTCAAGGCCCGCCAACCCCATTCCAAGAGCATGGAGTTGCCGCACTTTCTGTCCCAGAATCCCAGCCATGTGAGACATGCTTCT